ATGCTTCTTACCCTAACTGGGATGAAAGGTACCACATCTATCTTTTCTGTTGAGATAAGGTCTCATCCAGTTTTTACTCAAGTTGACCTGGAACTCTCAGTCTCAGCCTCCCTTGTAGTTAGGATTGTAAGTGTGTGAACCACTGTACCTAGCTACAGGTACAATTTGTTCCATTTCCATTCGGTTGAATCATGGAACATAAAGCTCACAGCTCAATGAGGAGAGCTGCCTGTGAGAGTCCATCTTTTAACTTTATACCTTCTGTGTTTCCAGATGAATTTAAACATGCTTCAATTTCACTTTGTACATCTTTCCACCTATGTTTAGTGAATTACATCTGAACTCCTTCAGAAGCTTTTTGTATATATAGGTGTCATGGCCACCATTATAATGGTGAGACTCTTTCTGGTGTTTAGGTTCCTGGCAATCTAGATGCTTTGGATTACAGTTCCAAGCAGAACCCCCAGAACAAGACTTACTAGATGAAAATTACTGGTTCATGACCTTAGCTAGCTCCTTTTTTGGGGGGGGACTGAAGCATGGACCCTGAATCTAGGACACAGGGTTGAGGGTGTCAGTGTCCTGCCAAGTTCCCAGGCATGTCAAGGATGGAGAAGGAGAGGGGTGGGGGAAGGACAGCTTTCACCAACTAGCCAGACAAGTCTAGGCAGGTGGCACTAAATAAATAGCAAATCTCATCAGCCCAAAGCCTCTCCTCACTTCAGAACCACAGGCATAATCTCCATGAGAACACAACAGCCACCGTTTTCCCAGGGGACCCCCTGGGGTGACTTCAGACGGTGACTCTTTCTGGCCCAAGAATGGCTACTGTTGATCAACAGGCAACCACACTGAGCTTCAACTTTGGAGTCCTCACTGGGCGATCGCCTATGGATCATGTTCACCTTCAGCATGTTATCTAGCACAACTCTGGCAGGGAGCCTGGTCCACATGGTCCTTCAAAATGAGTGAAATTGGTGCTGAGGAAAACTGTGAGAGGGTCTGAGCTGCCTTCCATTCCAGGTTCTCTCCCCTAGATCCTATCCCAGAGGGAGGCAGTGATGGCACACCGACCCTGTTCCCTGGGGAGAGCTGCGCTGTGCCAGCCCCACAGAAATGGCTCAGATTTGAGGGTGAAATCAGGCTCTTACAAGCTACAGGAGCCAGAGGAGTTCCTGCCCTGGGCTGGGCTCCAAGACCTGTTTGACTGGTTTCTGAGGAGTGTTTCACCCACAGAGCCATACAAGGTGGACACACTGGATATAGGTGTCTTATTTGTTCCTGGGGTCTAGTGTACATGAAAGCAATCAGCTTTAGTCACTGGTTTTGAGCCCCTATATTGAAGGACAAGCATCCCCTACACCTCTTTCTAACACCTTTATACACAACATACATACACAAACCTAAGTGTGCATGTATATATATATATATATATATATATATATACCTAAGTGTGCATGTATATATATATATATGCACAGTGAATATGTACATACATTTTCACATAAATGTGTACTTACACACATAAACATACACAGAGCACATGTTATTGCATAAGTGCATACATGTACACACACTGCTATGGTACCAAGCCTAGCCCAGGACTGCTTAGCCTTCCTGTCCCCAGACCCTGGTCCAGGAGCCTTGGGGAAGTTTTTCTCTTCCCTCTGACACCGTCCATCCTTCCACAATGAAGCTCTCTATCCCCCTTTTCCCCCAGGGACACAGTCATTCTCCCTGGGAAGAGTTCATGCTTCTATGAGGGGACAGGCAGAGAAGGGACATATCTTAGGAAGAAGAGTCCATCTTTAGTACTTAATGAAAAGGCTCAAGAGGCCTATGAGCCTGTGCTCTTCTCTCCTTCTGTGAACCATAGTCTTTATCTTTCCATCTGGTTCCTGGTGTCCTGATCAGCAAAGCTCAAACCTCTTTCTCACTCAGCTTCAGCTCCCCTAAGCCCTTAGCTCCTGCAAGGGCACAGCACCATGCCTGGGAGAGATGGTAACCTTCTTTTCGTCTCTTGCTGATCTGTCTGACTTTGCTTCTTACTTGGCTCCAGGGAGCTCAGCTGTAAAACTAGGAGCAAGTAGCTGGGTGCCCTAGCCTTGGGCTCCTCATTAGTTGGACAATATCCATTGTTCCTTTTATTTTACAGGGTAATACAGATACCCATGAAATCACACCTGCACCTGAGCTAAAAATGACAAAGAAGTTCAAGCAAGAACAACTAAGTTTTGCCAACAAATTTCATGTTGTTGTCCCCTTTCCTAAAGCTTCTCATTGGCCCAAAGGCCAATCCTAAGAGGCTATTCTAAGGCTGTGACCTATGAGGCAGGGGACTGGGTGGAAAGACAAAACTGAAGCACTTCAGTGTTTGTACATGTTCTAAAAGGAGCATTTGGTCTTGGAGAAGAGGATGGGAGGGTACATGTGAAGGATTTTTCTAGACTTCATTCATTTCTAGATTTCCTTCCTCTAGAATATTAGCAGCACCTCACTTTCCTGTCCCATGGCAAGACTCAGAGAGATGCTTTTCTAAATGAAGCCCTGTCTTGCATAGAATGGAATTGGTTTAAGTGTATGGTCAAAGGCTGCTTAGGTTCAGGGCCTGTACCTTAGCAGGCTTACTACCACTTCAATGTGGATAGATTCTGGTTTTCAGTTCGACCAAGAAAAGAATGATAATGAAACTGAGAGTGGGCTCTCCCTTCAAGTGGATATTCTCTTGAGGTCTGCATCAAAGGTGAATTAGCTCGACCTAGAACAGGAAGTTTGTCATAGAGTAACACACCTTGTGTTGATCTGAGCTTGATACTCTGAATCAGAGTAATCTCCTTAGATACGGTCAATGCATCATCCTAATTTAAAGGCAAGATATTGAGACATACATTTCCATACCACTAGATAGAATTGGAACCAGGAACGCAATCAAATCTAATTTTTTTTTGCAACGTATCATTTACTATTCAAGAAAAATAATAAGACAATAATTATGAAGCATTTAGATTTTAATCATAGGTCCTCCTAATAAGATGAGAAGAAAAGGAAATTTCACATACAGATTGATATCTCTGACTTTTTTTTAAATAAAGGAGTGTGATTGAATCCAGTCACCAAGAGCTCCACCCTTCCTGCGTCTCTTACCAAACAGAATGCTTCCCCTGTTCCAGTCGCTGGCCTGAGTGGTATTCTCCACCCAAAACTGGTTGGCTGTTTCATTGAGAAATTGGTTGCTTAATATTTATTGAGGTCTCTGTATTATTCCAATACAAAGATGAGACAGGTCTCCTTCTTCAAGATGTCTTTCTAAAAATAAAGTGAAGACAACTCGAACACTCTCTTTGCTAATTCTCTACCTGAGTTCCCGAACTCAGTAGATGGGCAGTGCAGAAGGGTAGGCTGTATTTTAGTGAGGAAGATAATGCTTGACCTATTAGATTGGCTGAACCAGAGAGGTCAAATTTGTTACGTTTCTCAGGAGGAGAGCGAAGAAACTTGTTTCAGGCAGGAATGGGAAAGGGGAAAGGAATCTATGGAGATCAAGAAGGGACTTTCTTGAGAAAGTCATCATAGGACTCTCATGGCAGATGTCCCCTCACGAATGTGGGTCTGACAGCTGGAAGGATTTAGGGACAATCCCATGAGGGTTGAGTTCTTGGTCTCAACCCTGATACACTGGGTATGGGTGGGGATAGGTTTCCTCCTGGAGGGCAGATCAGACAGAGGGCCCTGGGAGATTCTCGGTAGGTGGTTTTGCTTCGGGCTGATACCTAGTAAAGTGGTAGGGAAGTCAAGACATCATTATTTTCTGCCCTCTTTTGTACCTTCTGACCCCTCAGTCTCTCTGGGGTCATTTTCCCAGAAAGCATTCAGGAAAGGCTTTAACCCCGGTTGCTCCCTACACCCCATTCTCTACATGCATACCAAGTATCTTTGGTACAAAGAACCTTCTTGGACTTAGCAATAGGATAGGACTGTAGGATTCACTGAGCTGGATGAGGATTGTCCTGGAGAGAGGATAAAGTCTTTCCCATTCCTCCGAAATCAGACTTCATATCTTCTTTTATTTATTTATCTGCTCATACCTTCTTTTAATAAGGTAATGTTCCACATCTGTGTGTTAGTGGGTCATGCCTGTAATCCTAGCTCCTCAGGAGGCTGAGATCTGCCCAAGGCAGGGAAGTCTTTGAGACTCGAGCTCCAATTAATCACCCAAAAACTAGAGCTGTGGCTGAAAGTGGTAGAGTGCTAACCTTGAGCAAACAAACAAACAAAAACAAACAAAATTCAGCGACAGTGCCCAGACTCTGAGCTTAAACCCCATGACCAACAAAAATTAATAATAACAATGTTCTAGCATAAAGGGTCTGAAGGTGTGAATGCAATGTGAGTTCCTGTTGTCTGTAAGCAAAGGGCAGCCAGTACTCTTCTAACTCCTGTCCTGCATTGGGAATTTGATGGAAGCCCTTGGCTGAACCCAGGCAGATTTGGGGGGATTGTGGAGCCCCCTAAAGGACAGCTTCACCTCTCCCTCAGTCCCCCTCAAGCCCCAGTCTCTGTGAAGTTGGGGTTGCTATGGGGGAGTTGGGTCCTGGGTTCTTGCGGTAGAGTGATCTTCCGTCAAGGTGGGGGGGGTGGTCAGGAGCGACTGGTAGGCTACCATCTATAGCCCCCCCATACCCGTTAACACCAGACTCCCATGGGTCCTTCCCACTGCAATCCTGCATTTCTTGTCTGGAGCTGGTGTGTCCCTCCCTGGGAGGAGGATCTTGCCTGAGGACACTTGGAGGGTGGGGAGCCTTTCTCCTCCCTTCGCTCCAATCACAGAAAAGGAGGGGGTTCCCATCCCAAACACACTGTCTTCAGCTCTGCCCTCTGATAGACAGACGCTGCCTCAGCTCCCAAGCAACTACTCTGAGCTCTGGACCCCGAACCTTGGGAAGAGCAGGTGGACAAGCAGGCAGGTCAGAAGCTCTCTACGAGTTGTCAGGGACTGCAGCATGGCTGAGAAGCTGTCTAAAGAGGAGGTGGAAGAGTTGCACCAGGCCTTCTCCAGGTTTGACAAGAATGGGGATGGCAAAATCAATACCGAAGAGCTGGGCGAAGTGATGAAGGCTGTGGGCCAGAACCTGTCTGAGGCCGAGCTGAAGGAGCTTATTGCCCGGCTGGACACCGACGGTGATGGTACCATCAGCTTCCAAGAGTTCCTGACAGCGGTGGCCAAGAAGATGAAGGGCGGGGCCACTGAAGAAGAGCTACGTTCTGTCTTCCGGGCCTTTGATCTGAATGGTGATGGTCACATCAGTGTGGATGAGCTGAAGCAGGCCATGGCCCAGCTGGGGGAGCAGCTTTCGCAGGAGGAGCTGGATACCATGATCAGCCAGGCCGACTTAGACAAGGATGGCAAGGTGAACTACGAGGAGTTCATGGCCATCCTCTCTCAGAAGTGAGACTTGCAGGCCTCCAGCCCCACCCTGTCTGTCTGTTGGACACCCACCCACCAGACTGAGCACCTTCTGGGGGGGGCAGGGTCTCTGCTTTGGGGGTGGGGCTATCAAGGATTAGTCTGGGTTGGTGGATGGGAAATGGCTTCATGGATGAAGAAAGACTTTGCTCTCCTTCTCCTGGACCCTGTACCATTTGAGGCTGCTCAGGAGCTCATCTTTACCCTCTGAATGTGGGCAAAAGATGGCGTCTTCCGGCTGGTACTTCTTCCTCTTCTCTCACAATGAAATGGGGACCCTCCTCCCAGGGTCATTGGTCTAAATAAAAGGAATTCAAAGTCCTGCTGTGTGCTTGGTGTTTGGAAGGTAGAAATTCTACAGGTGGGTTTTTTGTTTGGTTGTTTGTTGGTCTTCCCCCCCCCCCCACCAGTCTGTATCACTTCATCCTGGTGGGAGAACTGACTTGTGTAGGTCTCATAGTCCACCCTTTGCCTCTCCTGATATCTGAGGAAGAGGAAAGTGAGTGGTGATACACGGTTGGGAGAGATGGAGGCAGCAGGTATCTTTGTCTTCAAGGAAGGGTCCATCTAGCTGCAGGGCAAACTCCAGGCCAAGAGCCCAAGCTCAAGACTGGTAGCGCTCCACCCACCCCCCAAGGCAGGATATCCTTTGCACACCCCATGATGTGTTCTAACCTAAAATTTTTAAAGAAAGGATGTGTGTATGTCTGCCTCTGTATGTCTGTGTTATCTATGAGTATATCTATGTGTGCATATGTCTTTGTCTGAATGCATGTGTGTATTTATGGGTCTCTATCTTTATATGTGTATGTGGGTTCATATGGACATTTATATGTGTATATAGGTCTAGACATGTGTGTATGTATATATATGATATATGTGTGTGTGTTTATGTGTATATGAGTATGTCTCTTTATGTGTCTGTATATATATCTTGTGTTTGAAGTTCAGGATCTTAAAGATAATTTTAAAATGTAGACACTGGGCACCAGTGGCTCATGCCTACAATCCTCCTATCATCAGGAGGCTGAGTTCTGAGGATAGAAATTTGAAGCCAGTTTGGGCAGAAGATCTGTGATGCTCTTATCTCCAATTAAGTACACACACACACACACACACACACACACACACACACACACACACACACACATCTCAGGGACAGAGCCTAGGCTCAGAGTTTAAGTCCTAGGTCCAGCACAAGAAAGAAAGAAAGAAAGAAAGAGAGAGCAAGAGAGAGAGGGAGGGAGGGAGGGAAGGAAGGAAGGAAAAAAGGAAGAGAAGGAAGGAAGGAAAGAAGGAAGGAAGGAAGGATGGAAGGAAGGAAGGAAGGAAGGAAGGAAGGAAGGAAGGAAGGAAGGAAGGAAGGAAGGAAGGAAAAGGTAGAACCCTAGAAATGAGACCTAGTATGTATGAGCAGAAGCGAGAGAGTCAGGCCCTGAGTGTGCAAGAGGCACTGGAGGTGGAGCCCACTGGCTAGTTAGATGCTGAGGACCAAGGTCCTGTGGGGTTTCCAAGGCTGATAGCCAGGCACTGTTGCTGCCCAAGGATCCATATCTCATTGCTGCCCAGACCCCTCTGGCTCTGGCTCACTCATAGCCTCCAGGGGGTTCATTCTGGGCTTCAGTCTAAAGGGTGGGTCTCAGAAAGAAGTTAGGGAGGGAAAGGGGTGCTGGAGAAGACAGACTGAGGTCTATCTGGACTGAGGGCCACTAGCTAACTTGGGCCGGGTGTTGCTGCCTGGGTTTGAGTCGGAGGCCCACAGGCTGCCTGTTCTTTCACAAACCAGGTCTTCTGCTTCCTCCTTCGTTGAGATGTAGAGTAGAATTTCAGCTCAGATGATCAGCGATGCCAGTCTCATCACAGCTGAGCTGAGTCAGAGGTGATCCTTCAGGGCAGGGAGGGAGGCAGAGCCAGCTCCCCTGGGGAGCGGTTACCAAACAGACCAGCCAGTCCTGCTGTCTCCCTCATTCTGGCTTAGCTGCAGTGGCCAGTGGCCACTGGTGTTTGCTTTATTCCTACTGAGCACACAGGCTCATATTGGGAGTGGCCAGCCCCCTCCTAGGAGAGGCTCTTCAGTCTACAGTTACCCATGCCCCCCCTCCCGCTCTCCCTCCTGTGTTTTCTGCCCTCATTTGGGTCTCTTCAGTGCTCACACATTGCTTATGTGTTCCTCTCGGCTCTGTCAGTGAGTCTAGCCACTGTGGATGTCTTCCAGCACCGAGTGATTCCTCAGTAGCTCCAGAGGAAGTTTTCCAAGGTCTACATGGAAAAATAAAGTCAAATTTAAGACGTGCCAGGAGCCTGTGGTTCACACCTATATTCCTAGCTACTCAGGAGGCTGAGATCTGAGATCATCAAAGTTTAGCCCAGGCAGAAAAGCCTGTGGGAATGTTTATCTCCAGTTAACCACCAAAAAGTCACAAGTTGCACTTGAGGTATGACTCAAGTGATACAGTGCCAGCTATGAATAAAAAAGCCAAGTGAGAGCACAAAGCTTTGAGTTCAAGTCCCAGTATTGGCATAAAAGGAAAGGCTTTGTATTTTCCCTTTTTTAAAACAAATTCTAAGAATATGTTCAGTATTTTCAGTGTTGATTCTCTTTTCTTTCAGGAAGGTAACTTGATAGCAGAGGATAGGTATTTATTTATTTGTTTTTAATTAGCCAACAGCAGTACAAGGGAGAGTTTCATTGTTATATTTCCACAGACCAAATCAACCTGACTCCTGATTAACCTCAAAACCTCTCTCACTCTACCTCATCCCTTTAATCCTTCTTAAAGCAATTTTCAGGTGTCCATCACTTGAGGAGTGGATGAAGAAAATGTGGTACATGCACACAAAGGCATACAATTCAGCTATAAAGAATGATACAACATTAAATGGATACAACATTAAATCATCATATTAAGTGAAATATTCTAGACTCAGAAAGACAATACCCATGTCTTCTCATATATGGAATCTAGATTTTTTTAAAAAAAGCATAAAATGAATGTATAACAGGACCTCTGAGGATGAAAGGAGAGAATGGAGGAGGTGAATATGATCAAAGCTCTCCATATGCACGTATGAAAATAAAAATTGTTAAAATTAGTTAAAAATGCAAAAGTGAGGGATAAGAAAGAGCAAACAGGGTGAAATTGACCAAATTATAATTATATGTTATAGAAATACAATGAAATTTTTATGTATAGTTAATAGACACTATCAAAAATAACTTTAGAGGACTTGTGTTCATTGAAAAAGAAGTCAGTAGAAGAAGGAAAGGGGAATCTCCTAAGTTTGACACTTTAGTGTAGTGTTGTTTTGAGAATTAGTAGATGCAGAAGGAACTTCCTTCTCTGCCCAAGATCAGGACATAAGCTTCTCTCTCTCTCTCTCTCTTGTCATGGGGCCTGAACTCTGAGCCTGGGCGCTGTCCCTCAGCATTTTAGCTCAAGGCTAGCACTCTACCACTTGAGCCATAGCACCACTTCCAGCTTAATAAGCTTTTCTTTAAAGTGCCTCCTCCCCTCTTCCCACACCCGGCAGGAGAAAATGAGTCAATCACCCAAGACACCCTTTCCCCTGGAGATGACATAACACATCTTACTTAATCACCTCTGTCTCCCATAGGTGTACTTGCCTACAATTTGCACAGCTAGAAGGATGATGATTTCCTTTGTTTTATCACCCCCTCCATAATCTATCACTCTTTGTTAACGTGCTATATAGACTCACAAGCCAAATCATTTCTTTGAGTTTTTACTTTTTTTTTTTTTGGTGACTTTTGTTAATCTGTCTTTCATTAACTTACAGCTGTTAGGCACTGAAATTGAGTGAGACTTTTTTTGTTTGTTTAAACACACAAACAAAAAAACCCCACTCCTTCCTAAGTACTGATGACAAGATAAAATGTAGAAAAGCTGCTTATAACTCCAGCAGTCAGGAAACTGAAGCAGGAGGATCATGAGTTTGAAGCAAGCTTGGATTACAAAGTAAGATCTTGTCTCAGAGACAAGAAAACCAGCAAACAAAAACCATAGGACATATAAACCTCAAATGACTTTCTATTCAAAGGTCACATCTAAATATTCTGGAACATAGTCTATCTTTTCTCCCCCCTGCTTTTTTATTCATCACATATATCTATTTGTGTGTACTTTTACTTTCCACAAATGGTATCATACAGATGTCTAAAGACTATTTTTCTATATAATATTAAACCACAGATGCTTCTTCATATATATATATATATATATACATATTATATATATATGTGTGTGTATATATATATATATATATCATTGCTTTTAGTGTGACTACTTAACACTACACTGAATGGATGTCTCTACCTAGGGCTTTCAGAATAAGACAGAGAAGTAGGCAAATCCAAGATGTCTTGGAAAATGAGAGATGGTAGTTGAACCACCAGAAACTATGAAGTTACCATCTTGTGCAATGCCTACAGACAGCAGCAGAGGCTACTCAAGGCCCACACCCAGGACAGCCTAACCGTGGATCAGTACCTGTGTGGGCCTTGGAGGTGCTCCAATGAGAGGTCCCTGAGATGACTGTCTGCTTCTGGAGTCCTGCATGTGGCCTTGTGTAGTCCCTGACACATTGTAGGTATTCAGTATCAGCAGTGAGTGAATGAGTGTTCTTGACATGTCCCTTAGTTCAGTGACACTGTGGTACTGGGTTTTGAATTCAAGGCCATGTACTTGCTAGGCAGGCACTCTACCTCTGAGCTCCGCCTCCAGTCCCAGAGATCATCAACTTAACTGAGATAGTCAATTTGAAAGGAAGAAAAGTTTATTTGGACTAGAAGAATAAGAATAAGAATTAGAAGACGTAGGAGGAGGAAGAGGAAGAGGAAGATGAGGATGAGGAAGAGGAGGAGGAAGAGGAGGAAAAAGAAGAAAAAGAAAGAAACCAGGGTTCCAATATTTCCTTTAAGGGCATGTACCCAATGATCTAACTTCCTTCCTTCCACTAGGTACTACC